CCTGAGCTGTAGATAAACATTATCTGAGGATTCTATAAGTAGTAAGAACTCTGTACCAATTTCTGCCACATGATGCTGCCAACTGGAAGTCACATATATATTTCTACTATAAATGTATTCACAGAATACCTGTAAGCATGCTAAAGACCAGTCTAAATACCATTTTTTTTCCAAAACAATTTGAGGCCTGTTCCAATTGCTATGTAATGGATGGCAGTACTTAGTGACTCCTGACAAAGTACACTTTTGACAATTGTTTTAAGTTCTCTATAGAAAAAAAGAAATTCCTCTCATTTCTCTTGCATTCTAGTACACAGATGGGTGTTGGGAGTGAAGAGCAGTGAGGCTTGTCATTTTTTCCTGTTTGTTTCCAAATGCTTCACTTTTCTGCCTTAAGAGCAAGAGCAACTCATGTCATTCTTACTTTCTGTTCTGTGTTTCTTATACAGACTGTGTCAGAAATAAGTCGTTGTTGTTGTTGTAACATGGAAAAAATGAGATAATAAAGTGGGATTTTAGATTTGGGATTTCAAGGCAATTTATAAATGTGTAATACACACATTATATAACTGTGTAGAAGAGAGTAGAAATTATAAATCCTCACAGGGTAGACAATTTTAATTTTCAATAAGAATTTTTTTTTTAGATTTTCTACATTCATACACATACTTACACACATATGCTCCCATATTATATATTTCTGACCTGTAATTTATGCCACAATACTGACAGAGAAGAAAAATGTAATATATTAATAGCATAGACAATAATTTTATACTCAATTTCTGCTGCTCTATTCCTATATTAAAAGCACTGAGAAAGTTAACTCTGGTCACAGATTTTTTTTTTATTCAGGGGAGGAGAACTTAGAATGCTGAAGAATTTCCAAGCCCTTCTTTCACACTGTAGTCTTAGGTGTCTTCGTCTTTTATTTGTATTGTACTCCCTATGAAGCAAGGCTTGAAGTGATTTAAATCACCTTCTAAACACAAGATTTTAAAGGTTCAATACATTGCAAGCCTCTCTATATATTTATCAAGAAGCATGACATACTAAAGTTAGACCTTTTATCTTCCCATCATCAACAAATAGATTTGAAAAAAAAAATTACTGTATTGAATCAGGTGTCCTTTAGCATCCTCTTGCATATGAATTGGTGAACAGTGGAATAATTGACATTTACAACAGCCAGGATTGGTGTTTTCTGGGCACAGAACTTGAGTTCACCCTGAATGCAGACATTGTGTAACCATCCTCCTTCCTTTTGTATGCTGACTTGTTAACAACTTTTGTCCTAGCACTGGGGAACATGGGTTTCAAGTACTCCTTATCATGATAAGATTTGAATCTCCAGCCTCCACATGCCAAACTATTCCCTTGGCTGCATTTCAGTCCTCTTTTAACAGTGACAGCTACAGCTGAGGGCACAAGATCCATATATCTTGAAGGAAAGAAAGAAAACTGACTCCATGTGGAATTTAGAACACTGCACCTGAAGTAGTTCATAGATTCTTTGCCCTTCTCCTTTAGCTCACTCAACAGATTACTCAGAGATAGTCTAATTTAAAGCACATAATCACATCCATTTTTTAAACTGTCTCAGAGCACACTCAGCAAACAGATTTGACTTATGAAGGATGACATTTTTCTGGGTGCCAAAGTTTAGGTTTGCATGTGGATTTGGTGACCCAGAAAGGAATTGTTACTTTCCTATAATATGCAGTTCCAAAAATATTTCAGATATTAGGGCTTTTCTAAGTTCTCCCTATTTAGATGCTCAAATTTTGTAGGAAATTTCCAGTAGGTGGCCCTGACTGCTGCATTGTATCTGGCCTAAGTGCACGGTATCTGTGTAGATTATTTGGCAACACCTAAAAATCGTTACTGTATTAATGCCAAGTGTAAGACAATTCCAATCTTAAATTATTAACATGTGTGTCATGTAAAAAAAAAAAAAAGGTCAAAAAGATTGAAGTCATAGAGCGATAATCTAATGAGGGTATGATACTTTAAATACCTCTGAAATTAATTTGGGTTTTGATGCCTTCTTTGATGTATTTCTATTTTCTTTGATAGTCTTAGAGTTGTCGGCATTTAGCAATTAAAGATTGTGGGTCTGATCCATTTCAAAGATGGAGAAAGCTTGCAGCTCTTTGGAACTTCTATAAGTGCTAATACTTCTACAAAATCAGGTCCAGGTTTTTAAAAAACACAGGGCCCTAATTTAAGAAAGCTACCAAGCAAATGCGTGTTAATTATACTGGTACACCAGATTCCGAAATGCATCATGTTCATAAGTGGAAGAGAAAATTGATAATGCAGTGTTTTAATTCATAACATAGATTTTTTTAGTAAGAATTAAAAAGCTAGATATTACTTTTAAAAAGCAAGGATATTAGTATATTCCAAATAAGAAAATAGAATACAGTATTCTGCAACATTATAAACAAATTATTGAAGATATCTCTCCCCTTGTGAAAAAAAGCCCCTATTAACACTAATATGAACAAGAATATTCTGTCTAATAGCATATATAATTTTAAGGAATAAAACCCTATTGTTTGCACTGTTATCTTGGTGACATTTTTGTTTCAGTAATCAACATGAAAAAATAAAAATAAATTAAAATAAAAATTTATTAAATAAAACCAGTAGTGCTTCAAACATAAATCAAAAATTGAAACAAACTAAGAAAAATTATTAAAAATAATTTTGGAAAATTATTTACCAAGTTAAAAGTATTGATATTTTTTGTAAGCTTTATTGTAGCTTACTGTATGTTCTTCTTTCAACCATCACTGACACACAGTCTGAGGCATGAACTTCTGATACTGGTTTATCCCCCATATTGATTTCCCTTTTAATAGAGAAAAAAATATAAACACTTTAACGAATGCATAAATAATACTAATCAATTTTAATTTCAATACATATATATTGTTAGAAAGATTGCAACACTAGGACAACTTTTCTGTAAATGCAGATAAGAAAAAAACTAAATATGTTTTCCTGGGACATTATTCCTCATTGCAGAACATATGTGGAAGGCTCAATTTCCAAATGAAGTGCTCTTATGAAGTCACTCATAATGTGTCTTACTCTTGTTATAAATCAGCATCTGTCTTCGAATGAAGAGCTGTAAGAATACCAGTGTAGTTGTGGACTTGGAACCTATTTTCAAAATATAAAGCTTAGATAATTGTACTCCTGAACCAGGAAGATAATATCATAAATTTCGAAAAAAAAATAGTTCCCACTTTAATAAAGGAAGTTGATGAACAGTGTAATTATCAGTCTTTTGATATTTGGCACTGATTAGATAATTCACTGGTTGACTTTTTTAGTCAGCCCTTACAGACTCATTTGCATAGATGTAGAGACTGTCTATCCAAGATTTTCATTTTCTGACTTCTTAAGGAGGTAAATGAGAGTTCTTTACATTTAGTCTGTTAGTGAATAGCAAGGCATATGTGACCTTATACTCTGGACCAGGACCTTGCCTTGAATACATTCAGCCTAAGGAACGGATTTGGTTTGAATAGAGATTCCCTATTCTAAGACAAATACACAAAAAACATTTGCATTTCAGACTATGAAATAAGCAGCTTTGATACTTTATCTTGGATCTAAAATTTGAAAGCAATGAGTATAGGTAAAATGCCAGTGAGGAGATATATTTTGCAGTTTATATAAAGTAAATCGTAAGTTTAAAAAATAGTACAGGTATCAAACCCCTTAAAAGGTGAATTGGTGAATATCCTATACCTCCAGTTTATAGTGTCTAAACATGAATGAAAACTATAGCACTTCTGATATCTCTGTCCCCACCCCGCCATCACTTTGCAGTTACTGAAAGTTAAAATCATCCATAGTGAGCAAATGGACTTGAATGTTAAGTGTTCTTTGCTGGTTCAAGTGCTCCTGCAGTTTACAAAATCTTTCTTTCTAGTAGCTGCCATATTCATCTATTGGTGAGGAAAAAAGAATCTTTGAAAGAAAAATAAAAGGAATAATTAGCAACAGGATGATAACTCAGTGTTATCTGAAATGACATAAAAAGCAAAAAACATTTGTACCAAAAAAGAATAAATGAAAAACGTTTTCAAATGTTTCAAAAAAACCCTGAGTTGGAGGTGCTAAAAAGATATAACCTATAAAGTTGATGTATGAGGGTAGAAAATAAAAAATTATTCTAATCCATGAATGTCTCCATGCAATAATGATGGCTCCTTTACACACTCTTCCAATTCTGGCATCCTCTTCCTGATGCTTCTGACAATGTCTGTTATTCAGCAGAATGGTCCAAAAACTGAAGGATCTCCAGAATTTTACTCTGTCTTTTTTTTCCCCCCATAATGTCATTGTTTTATTCTCTATCTTTGGATGTCTTTTGTGATCCAAAAGTAGGTAGTTCTGAAAAATATTTCTGAAAAATAATATAATGGATGCAATTGCTTTGGAATCCAAATCAGAAATTGCCATTCAAATGTCTTAAATATCTTAATAGATCATATCAGTAAAAGACAGATAAGAGTAACAAGATTGCCATGTGTCGACTCTTGCATGTAACGGTAAATTGTTTTTTTAAGCTTATAGATTGATAAGTAGAATTGTAAGTATAAATGATTGCCTATTTTTAATTATGGAGATAGCACAGTAAGCAACATTCATGGCAGCTGTGACAAGCAATTTATGGATAATATATTCTTCTATATGAATTTCATAACAAAGGATAGATTTATTTCCCAATAAAATAATTTATTCAGAAGGCTGGTATTACATCCCAAGAGAGAAAACAAACCATAAAATTAAAACTAATATAAAAATATTTCTTAAATATATCTGAAGAAATTTTAAATAGTTGGACTCTGCATGAAAATGAAGTAATTGCCTTTTTTCTTTTCCAAGAAGCTATGGGTTACAAGTTTATCTAGGACATCTTATAGAAAATGTATTTTAAAATAATGATGAAAGACAGGGGTATCTCTCTCCCTCCACAGGTAAAAAAATTTCTCAGCTGGATACTGCTTTAGATGAGAAATTACAGAGAGAAGACTTCGCATACCAATGGCTTCATGCACAGTTTTTGGATTATGAAGCAGCCAGTTCCAGAAATTCGAAGTGGTGAGGTCATCGTCTTTAAATTAGATTTTTTTCTTTTATTTTCAATTTGTCTTGTAAAGTGAAACCTAAGTTAATGGTTCTAAAACAAACATGGTTTTGCAGCTAGCAGACGGTACACTGCATTTCCAGGTCCCAAATATGGTACCCTTTAGAACCTGCTTAGTAGTCATGGTATAGATACTTCTTCCACATTAAAATTGAAATTATAAAATTCAAAATCTTATCATAAATAACTACTTAATTTTACTATAGCAATGCAGTGGGTTTTAGACTGTAAAAAGTGTAGAAAAAAGTGCTTATTCATCATATATTTTATAATGTTATTGATATATATTGTGGTTTTATGTAATTAAATCAACTGTAACATTAGCTATATTGTTAGATTTGATTAAGGAAGTAAAAAAATACTTTTTTTAACAAAGTAGTGTGTATTTACATTTTGTCTTCAAAACATAAACCCAGCATTTACATCTTTGTACCACACTGAACTGAGATGTTGTAAATATGTTCCTTCTATATTCAGTTTTGGTTATTAAACAGGTAAAATTTCAATACAATTAACGGAAAAGTTCATATTGCCTGAATTAACATGAAGACATAGTAAATGTATTTTGGTCATAAATTCAATATAAGGCATTGGTATCTTAATGAAGCCATTAGTAGACACAATGCCAAGCATCTCTAAGAAAACCAAACTAAGTGTCAGCAGGCAAGCAATGGCTTTAGTATATTAATTTCATTATTATTTTCATTAAAAATGTATTTATAATTAAATGGGCTTCAAATTGTTCTGTCTTGTACAGAAAAACATGCCATATATCCTGCTTGTATCAATGACTATAGAAACTATATGAAAAACATGTTCCTTATGAAATATTTATCTGGCTTTGCAGTAATATTTACCTTTCAGTCATGATCTATAATGGAGAAATACTCAAAGTGTTTGTTTAAGATAAGTTCCACAACTTTTAATTTGAATGAAAACAGTGGAATACAATATTTAATAATGCTTGAAAGTAAGAAGACACAAAAAATTATAAAAGAATTTTCTTAAATACTATTGCTTCCTCTACAGGTTAATGCTATGCCCTAGAATTTGTACTGACTTTTTTAAGGATCATGATATAATTTTTTAATGTGCCAAAAGTCCAACTGATCTCCAGTCAGACTTCATTGGTAGACAATCTAGAACAGCTGATATATCTATTCAACTGAAAGCAATTTTATTCCTACAAAAAGTAATATGAAAACTGGCTTTTCTACAGTTTATGTCAACACATATAAAAAGTCATGCTCGTTAGAATAGCTTAATATTCTATCATTTAAATAAGCAATGTTAGTTATTTTTTTAATCAAGTGCAAAAAAAATAGTAATTGCTCTGATACTTTATCAGTTAATATAAATTTCTGTGATACATCTTAATCATGGAATCATTTTAAATAATTAAGCAGGATTGTTTCCTGGAAAGATTCTGTGCAGGTATATTAGTGAGCCCAGTACACTGGGAGTTACTAAAATTTCTATTCTACATTTTTCCCAGCTGTCATTTTTTGCCTGAGCTAGATCCTGCGATATGTGACAATAAACAAGTACAACTTGTGGTAAGAACCTGTTTCTTTGCGGGACATTGCAGAATTCAGGTATTTCCAACCCATACCTGGTGTAAAAACAGGAGATTTTTTAGATTAATATAATTCTATAGTGTTATCTCTGTTGACAATTAAGTCATCCCATGATGGAGATCAGAAGAAAATATTTTAGCACAAAACCCCATGTAGGTGCATTGGGTTCCAGCTTCACGATCTGACACTGAGTTTGTTTTTGACATAAAATGCTGCTGTGTGCTTTTTAAAGTTTCTAAATCTGCATTTTCAAAAAAAGTTAAAAAAATGAAATATGGTTCAGTACCAACTACATTATTTACTGAAAACAGGTATTCTTGTCAATTGAACAACTTTAAATATTCTCAAATCCTGTTTAGAACATACCTAAATCATTCTAATATGTCTTCAGTGTCATTTGTTGAAATATAGTAAGTTGGAATTGCATATTAATATGGTGACATTATTGAAAACATTGCATGAAGTCAAACTTATTCCTACAATTTCTTTTTAATGTTTTTTTAGATCTTAAATAGCCCTCTGCCTTATCATGATTGACTGCTTTTGCAGCATTTTATAAAATTGGCTTTATTGAAACAGGTAGTCATATAAGTTGACAGGAGGGGAAATATGAGCAATTTAACAATTTGAAGATTTACAAAATAAAAAGGCTGTGTCAGAGATACCCAAAAGTTCCTTTAATAGCAAGCAGTTGTGTTGCCTTCAGGCCAATATATATTCACTCCATTTCTATATGTATAGTCTTTACATTTTAATGCCAAATTAGCAATGTTCTTATTGATAAAATTTTGTACAATTTAAAAAACAGGGCAAGAATTTAGAATCTAGGCAGAATTACTAATTTATATAATACATGATGTAAAATATTGCACAAAAAGTATTTCCCAGTTAGATGATGTGTCATATGCCTCATTTAGTTCTCTGAGCAGTCTTGCCCCCTTCTAACCTCTTCCTTCTTCAGCTTCACAACCTGTGCAATTTGCATGTTTCGGAAATGATTCCATAAACTCTCATAAAATTCACCTTGAAAAAAATGCTTTTAAGACTTACAAGTTACTATTACTGTTTTCTTTAAGACAGATTTTGCCAAATATTTTTCTCTGGCAAGTGTGTCCAATTCTTAGGTTCTTCTTAAATTTAAAAGGCTGAAATCATGAACCAAATGACTGTTGTAGGGTTTGATTGCAGCAGCACCAATAGTTATTTGTTAGGTGATATCTAAAACAGTAATTTGAGCAAATCATAATTTAATAATGTTATCTAAATTGCATGTTATGTAATTATTGGTAAGCATATGTGCACATAGGTAGATTGTATGTTATTTACACTAAGCAGTTTCTGTCCACAAAATACTACTGCAATCCCACAATAGTATTATGTGGTATGCCCACATAACTGGCAAAGTTATAGAATTGTCACAGCTTGTGCCACATAATAACATAGCTGTTCCACATGAATGAAATACAGAGAAAAATGCAATAGGGGGCTCAAAAATAAGAAAATGGAATAAAATATATCTCTAATGCAGAGAGCAGTACTATATAGGCAGCAAAATAATGATGTGGTTTGTAGAAACAGATGGCTAGAGAATTTTGGTTTTAAAATTTATATGAGTTCTCTCTTAAAGGTTGAAATGGGAACATACTCCTACTGCTTTGGCACAGTAGCTTATTTAAAAGCTATGAAATCATTATAAAAATCAAGTTAACAGCTGTAATCATTATAAAAAAAATTCTTGCAAACTGAAAGTGGAAAATATATATTAAAAACAAAGAGAGGGAGAGAGAGCGCAAGCATTAGACGAGGAAAAGCATTCCTCTTCTAGAAGAGGAAAGCATTTCCAGTAGTTTTTTCCTATGCCATATACTTGAACATGAAGTTTTCTGATGTGCTGGACAATCCCTGCTTTTTATGTGTTCCACAAGCCTGCATTCTGCAAGTTTCATATAGTTTTCTAAATTATGTTTGTGCACATTCCAGTAATTTAAGACTGTCTTTTTGACGGATACTAAATTGCATTTCAATGGTTGCATATAAACAATAAAGTCTTCTCACTGGGGATTGTTGCACTTATTACAGGCTCTTATTATGTCAGTCGTGGTCTGATGATTTTTGATGATTTTTCTCACTAGTAATACCATAGAAGTGCTTAGGAAGGCATGATGGCTTGTGGTTTAAACTATTTTAAATTAACACAATTTTGTGGAATAGCAGGTAGAATAGACTTCCTGATTCTTTTTGTATGAAGTTTAAGTTACCTATAGGGTTAACCCCTTCACTATTGATCAGTATTCCCAATCATTTAGATGTAACTTGAATTCAAGAGAACCTTTTATCTCTGAAGGTCACAGAGCATCTTGATAATTCTACCTAGAAATAGACAAATATACAGATGCAGAGCTACGTTCAAGGCAAAGGTTCCTCTTGTTGATATTAATTTTCAATTAATTAGTAAGGAGGGTTTGTGGTAATTAAAAAAATGGCAGAAATTCTGAAAAGTTAACTATGGTGATCACCACAGATGGAAGTCCAATACTACAGTCTGCAAAAAACTGTGCCAGTATCTTAAATTTCTCCCAAATTTTGGTTGTAAGTCATAAACCAAAAAGGGAAGGTTTTAATTAGCTTCAGAGGACTTTCAGTCAGCTTCTTTAAAAACCCAAAATTAAATTTGCTCCAGTGGTTAATACAGCCTAAAATATTACTCTGACTGTAGTTGGGTGAAAACACTTATCTTTATTTGAAATAAAATAACAAATATTTTACATCAGAGATCAAGACAGCCCTATTAAAATCTAGCATATAGCCCTAAATATTGTTGTCTGCAAAATAATGAAAACTTAGTTTCTATGATGGTAGAGATTGGATAATAATACCATGGAAAGGCTATATCAGACACTAGCCATATGAAATTCTGTGGCCTCCTGGGTCTTTGGGAATCAAGAAAAACATTTTAAAAAACTTTTGTTGTGTGTTGAAACAGGTTAGATAGAAATAAGAATGATCACTTCCATTGGTTTGAATCTCTTTGAGCAATCCAATCATTGCATTATTTCTACTAATGAAAGACTAAAAGCTTTCAGTTTAAAGATTTTGAACATAGGAAGCTCTCACAAGCTTAAAGCAACTGTAAATATTAAGGTCAAAAAAAATAGAAATAATTGGCAGGGTAAAACATTTTTTTTTCAAAGTTTCTTGGCACTGCCATGGAAGAGAAAATAAAATATTGATGTTAACAGCAATAATAAAGAATAGCTGTGCAAAGCAAATATTTGAATTCCTCGTCATTAAACATATGAAAGGTAAGCATCAGAAAACAAGGGATAAAGTTTCTGTGCGGACACAAAGGGTATGCAATCACTAAGGAAGAGTGTAAAATCTCTGTATCTTTGGAGTTTTTGGTTTGAAAATGCATGGACTTTTAAATGAATTTTACATTAAACAGTGACTGAGTAAAGACAAGGAAATGAAACAGGTCTCCATTTCATCTGAGTTCTCTAAGTCAGACTGGACTACAAAGCCTGTCTGCATTGGTGCAGTGCTGCTTTTGGTACAGTGAGGTAGTTTGAACAGGAAGTCTGGAAATCGTCTCCTCCAGAATGGCCTACAACTTCACAGTAAGAGCACTTTGCTGAGAAAAAGGGAGCTGTGGGCTTCAGCCCCCGAGGAAGGTGTTGAGACCCAGTATCTCAATACCTGGTTGAGCACTTTTGCTACTACAGTGTTAGGTAAAGTTTAGTGACATTACCACTAGCAGTCTTTCCTTTTCTGTAGCTTGTTTGTTTTTATGTTAAAAAAGAAATACCCAGTTAGAGACCTAGCTTCTGAAAGACATGTAACTCTTCAGCCCAGAGAGAGAAGAGACTTAATCTACTTTTCTGGACTTCACTTCTGAAGGTCCAGAGACTAGAAAAGTATATCCTTATGTTCAGTACTTCCAGCCAACCGACTCTACACTGGGGATTTTGTAGACTGTTCATCAGCAGTGTCTGATTTTTCCTCATCATTGTTACTGGTCCTTAGTATCTAACTATTGTTAGAGGCTGCTTTTGGTACTGAATAGCTTTTCTTTACATTCTTCAGGAAATGTGAAGTGGTTTCTGCAAAAATGACAATCTGCAATTTACAGTGGGTGGTATCTTCCAGACTTGTTTTTAAAATTTGCACTGCATGTTCCTAAAATAGCATTGCTAAAGTGAAATACGATTTTCAGGTAACATTCTTCATGCCAAAACATACCACCACTGGATGTTAGAAGTTTATAATTAATATAATACTCTTGCCTAAAGTATAATTAAAATGCTGTCTGATGGTTATGGTTAATTAGCAAAAACCTAAAAGATTAAATTACTCACTGGGCCCATGACTGATTGAAGTGATATGTGTCCTGGATAAAGCATAAATATTGCAGGAAATAATCCAGTATGACATCTCTGACATTCAACTATAACTTAAATTATAGACTGGTCAGTAAATGATCTTAAGCTGTTTAAGGTTTCATCAGCCCTCTGCAAGATTGATTTTCTTCAAAATTACTGTACTAAAATGTTTTCTTTTGTTGTTGCATTGACTCAGATCACAAACCACAATTTTGAGATCGGCTCTTATTTACAAAAATGCTTTGACATAGTGCATTTGTTCAGCCTAGGCAACAAAAAAGGATTGTGGTATCATTTTGAAGAAGGTTGTTTGACAGACCCTGTTTGTTTATTTGGAGTAATGTGAGCTACATTCAGAAAATGTTATATTTTGTTTCATGATTGTGTACATTCTCTCCCACTGCTTCCAGGCAAGTCCTGTAAGCAGAGAAGACATGGATTTAGACCTTGTTTCCATGGCCAGTAGAAGTGCTTTGACTGAGAACAGAGAAAAAAATAAGCCACCACACAGACACTCAGCAAGATCCTCAAGTAAGTTATGGTACTTTTCAATATCAGTATTAAAGATCACTTTAAAATGCTAGGTAGAACTGAGCATGCTTGGAATCCTTAATAGCACATGCTGCTTATCTTTCTGTTTCTTTTTTGTCTAAAGCCTTTTCATACACTTACTGCAGTTCTGTTTAAAAAACTTTAATATTGATAGACTTTCCTCTTGTGAATTTAATGGGAAGTTTCCTGTGATGTATTGTAGGTCTTCTCATGTCTAAGTCCTGAGAAGATTTTCTTTTCCCTAAATTATGAAAAAGATTTTTTTTAAATCTTCCTTTTTTTTTTTTTCCCCAAAAGAGCTTTAAAAAATGCATGTTTTGTTGCCTGAGCACCAGAATACATGTCACAAATCAAGGCACAGATTTCTGTCATGTTGATTACCAGTTATGCTGTAGTATATGATCTCACTGAACTTATAGCTCAGTAGTAGAGGATCCTTTAAAAGCCATATATTTTTATCACTCTAGTACCATAGAGGGTAACAAAAGAATCTATATATAGAAAACAAAATCTTGAATGTCATAAAATTATAGCATTTTAAGTTTCATGTCTTATTTTGTGTAATATTACTGAAGAAATGGTAATATATTTCTAACAGTATGACATACTGTATTTTTCTATTTGCGTACAATGTTTTTACGAATAAATAAAAACGTAACCCCCCCAAAAGTTCATTACAGAAAATATAAGCTGTATTAAATTACTTTGGCAAAATTATCAAAATTCCTAAAACTTTTTAAGTAGTGAAGTTTCTTGAAATGTTGTCAAAATAGGAATCAGATATTTAATATGATTTATAGATATATAAATTGCTGGATTTACTTTTTGATTATGTTTTCATATATGCTAAATTTCCACTTTCAATAAAAAAATTAAAAGTCAAGAAAAACATGTAAAAATACTTGAAATCTCTGTTTTTCTGACATACTTTGTAAAGGCTTTAGAATAAGGATTTATTTACATTACTTCCCCTCAAGTAAAAAATACTAGTTACCCAATGTATTTGTGTTTATCAATTTGATTTGCATTCCTAAAATTAGATTACTTAAAATTTATCATCACAGTCTGAATTGATTGTACTAATGGAGAAAGAACATAATTCTGTCTTTGTGACTGCCATCTTAGAAAAGGAGGGGAGGGGGTAGAGAGAGAGAGAGTTTACAATATTTGCTAATATAGGTATACTTTCAAAAAATACACATCTGCTGCACCATACCTATGTATCCATTCTTATTTTGGTAGTCCAGGAACTAAGGGAAAAATAGCCCAGGTCTTATGTCTTTTTAAATTTATTTCTGCATATATGTCTATATAAATTTTATCATCATGGATTTAAGAAATTAAACGATGATACATTCAATTGTTTCACTTATGATATATAAAACCAAACATTACTGTCACCTTTGTACAGTTCATATGCAGCATAGAAACATGTTCATTACATTATTTCTGTTTGCCAAAGACTCTTGCTTTTCAATTATCAGAATAAATCATTAGCCCCATGATGTTTTTAATCTGAAAACATTATACATTTTCCTTTACTGAGAATGTATTTGTTATAAAATGCTTTCTTGTTCTATAGTCTCTCTTGGTTTGCCTTCTGAGATATTAAATGAAGATGCCTAGGAAATGTTTCAGTGATTTAGTAGGTGTATTCCCTTTGAGTTAACCTGCAGTTGTATTACAGGGTATTATAAAGATGCTGTGACCTTAGAGGTGCTGTCTTTTCAATAAATTCTTAAATCAAGTTCTTGTACAATTTTTTCAGGTGATCTCAACCTCAATGATTTGACAAGCTTTGATTAATAAAATCTTACTGAGTTCACTTTCCAGCATTCATAGTTGTGCCTTGTATAAACTTGTAATTTAGGAATTGTATCAATAAATCATTGAGATCTTACAGGCTGAAAATTAATGTCTAGAAATACAAAACAATGGATTCTTAAATATATTTATTTAAAAAACCCTCTCAAATTCATGTGATACTGACATAAAATACTTTTTATATATAGGGAAATATATTAATTATATTAATAATATTAATGTATTCATTATCTTTGTTAAGACAGGACATACAACACTTCAAAGTTATTGTCTTCTAATTCACAGGGGATTCTAGAAAGGCTAAGTCAAGATTTTAAGAAATATTTTTTTGTGAACTTCCCAACTTTCATGTTCTTTCTATAGACCTTTTTTTTCCAAAGGCAGGCTCTTTGAATTCTGGATTAAACAATTTTAAGTTTTTATAAAAGGCAAATTTCCTCTTTTTTTTCTGAAAATTTGGATGGTGTAGATTAATCCTAAACTAACTTAATTCTGTTCCTTGACAAAGCTAAATTAATTAAGTAATAAAAGGAATGCTTTTAACATAGTATATCTCAGTTTAAGGAAAGCATTTGTTTACTTAAAACTATTTGATTTGCTTCCCTGTTACATGTTCAAAGGGAAACCTAACTGTTCATTAAATTGACCAAATGTTTTTAAAAATTGTATAACCTAAAGAAAGAGTAGCCAGTGTTCAGCTGGAGTGAATAGTTATCTGACTAATTTAGGACTTTGCTGCTGTTAATGGCTAATACATTATGATCTAAGAACATATTTATATTATGTTCTAGAACAATATAATATTCCTTCATAGTTATTGCTTTATGCTCACTAGTAACTATTTTTTCTTTTCTATTTCTCGAGGTTAGGTTTTTGGGTGGGGCTGGTTGGGGGGCAGGGGAATCTAACCATTCTTTAAAATTTTTATTATCTCCATAAAATATTGGTGTAAATTTCTGGTTGTATTTTTTGTTTTAATACTTTCCTGAACACTAGTACTAGTAGTCACTAGTAGTCAGCAACTAGTAGTTGCAGGATAAGCATAGAAATATTTTTCAAGAGTTAGAAGTTACGCATTTTTTGTACCTACCTAGAAAGTAGGTTTGTGTAAGTAAGTAGTAAGTGTTTTGTATATCCTAATATCCAATTTGTTTGGAGGCTATTACAATCAACAACCTTCTATCATCTTAATCTGTTTCTGGCCAACCAGTGTTGGACATATAGATAAGTCTCCTGTACATTCACATTGTCTAACTGCCATCACAGTTTTGTGGTTTTCTTTTCTCTGCAAATTTAGACTTTATTTTCATTATGTTTGCCTTAGGAACTGCAATCTTCTGACCAAAATTTGAAAGTGAAATGCAATGGGAGCTGTGCCTCTAACTCTTATTTAAAATATTGCCCAGAATTCTTAATTCTTCTCTTCCCCGAATTCTAGCTTTTCAGGAAGCCTTTGATATGGGTAAAATTACTTTCCAGGAAAAAAAATTGAATAAATTAGAACTTGAGCCTTGTAATTCCTTTATTACCCTTAGTTTAAAAAACAGACCCATTTAGTGTATGAAAAAACATTTATCGGTTTTAGTTATCCAGTGAATTCAAACTTATTCTGCTAGTCAGTGAAAATAAATTAACTTTAATTATGCCTTTCTTACAGTGAAAAGTCTTCCAAATGAGAAAAAGACACGGTAACTTTTATTTCATCTTCTTTCTAATTCTTACTCAATTCTTTTTGCTCTTGACAGAACCCACACCTTGATTTTCTTTGCCTCCCTTTCTTTCAGAATGAGAGCTGTAAGAAATCTTTCAACTTTGTTATAAGCAGTGTATGGTGCAGCTTCACTTCAAAAAATTCCTGCTTTCCTGTTCCTTTGTTCTTAGCATCACTATTGTCTGTATATGCCAGTTCAAGGACTGCTGTCTTTCATTTAGGATTTGTAAACTCTCTCTGTGTAGTAAGCATCTAATTTTTAAGCTCTCTGTGAATTTGCTCATATTTTACCGAGAAGTTTCTTGTATATATATTTCTTCCATACATACATATTTTTCTATGTATTGGTTAGCTATCAAACAACATATACCTAATCTTTTTGAACAGACTACAGAATGACATCTTACAAGATGCTGCTTAATTCACTTTGAGGTTGCATATTAAAAAAACTACCTAAATGCATATTTTAAAAGACATGTAGAATTTGCTTTCATTGAATTTAACAGGCTAGGGAGAAAAAAAATGATACATGATCTCATGTAATTTCATCATCTGTGTTTCCAATTACGAAAATAATTCAAAAAGAGATATACAGAGGCTTATTCTAAGTTTTAAGTGCTTAATTTTACGGCCTCATTCTCTTCTACTAGGGTTTGAGAGTTCTTCAGTGTGGATTTTTTTGAAGAAAAAACAGCTTAAAAAAAATTCCATTGGCTTGTAGGTCACTTTGATATCCACTTAGAACCATGGAACCATTAGACCAACGATAAGGATTTATGTGTTATGATTTGAGTCAATAATAACAGTTTTATGTTTCCTTTGCTGTGGGATCTTTGTTAAGTAGATTCAAAAATATTTCTCAAGTCAATGCACTGAAAAGTCCAGTAATTTATGTTGGGCTACTTCACATTGTTGCACTGGATGGTAAAGATGTGTCTATAAGATTTTCTTTCCCAAGGCACTCTTTCTTTCCTTAGTTTTTTTCCTTCTAGTTTGTCTCTTTTTCATTGCTCTTTTTACCACACCTGTGTTCCATAATCCTTTCTTTTACTATGAATGGTTCTTGTTTCAGTCCTCCAATTTATCGCATCATAAGCTTCCTCTCCCATCCACTCTTCCTCCCCACATACACCATCAGGTTTTCTGTTCTATCTACAGATCCTGATATGATTAACTTTTTCCTCTCACTATTTCTTTTTGAGTCCAGATTATTCCTGACAATATTCATTATCTTCTAGTTTAGACCTCCTCCAAATATGGCTGGTTTAGTGTACTGTTTAGGCAGATCTTGAGTCCAGTCTCTTAATGTATTTATTCTTTGTGTTCTTTCTTATTATTACCTGTATTTCCACTTCTTTTTACTTAAGTTAATTCTGAGATTTAGGAACCATCTAGTGCCCTGTAATCCATCTTCTTTATTTTTTCAAAGTTCCTCTTTTCCAAT